CATGATATCTGTCGGGTGGCCATATGGTCAACACCGCATACTTTTGTCTCCCATTATAAATTGGATTTAGCTGCCAAGAAGGAGACGGCTTTTGGGAGAGCAGTACTTTTTTCTGCACCAGCATGACACCCACCATCCGTGGGACTGCTCGCTAGTCTACCACAGGTGTGGATTTCACAGTACCACGCAGAAGAAAGTAAGGTTGCTTACCTGTAACCATGTTTCTTCTAGTGGTAACTGTGAAATTCACACAACCCGCCCATCCTCCCCACATTCTGTCATGCCTTTTATCTCCGACTGTCTTTCGCGGTACGGAATTAAGGCTCCAAGCCCCGCTGCCTGGCTTTATTAGGAGTAGATGGGCGGGGCTGGAGTCCCTAATTAGGAAAAGCTTTCAAGAAAGATCCGAGTCAGCTGCGTGGACGCAGGGAAATACCACAGGTGTGAATTTCACAGTTACCACTAGAAGAAACATGGTTACAGGTAAGCAACCTTACTTTTTTTAGGCACAGTGGTGCTCTATCTGTTTTTTCCATACCGGATGCCTGCAGCTTGCTCCGCCCTTCAATTACACTTTGCTGGTGAGGCGCCCCCTCACCTCATCATCGGGACTGCTTTAAGTCACTTCTTTCCATGAATTCTAGTGAGTGGATTTTCTTCTACCATATTTGTACAGCACCACCCTTGCTGCTTTCATGCGGTCGCTGCATACAGCGAGGATGTGGCCATGGCCGTTTTTGAGCTCCTCCCACTATATGTGGCTACCACAGATTCTCCAGTCCAGCTCGGAAGTTTCAGCACCTGCCGTATAAGACGATACCCGGCATATAAGACAAACCCTGACTTTTGAGAAGATTTTCCTGGGTTAAAAAGTAGTCTTATACTCCAGAAAATACAGTAGTAATGCCTCCTGGGCATGTCAGACAGTTGTCTGAAGGATTCCTTTCTTTATTGAATGACCTATTTGGAGTGTTGTGTGGTTTCCGGGCTGTATTTTCTCCTGATGTTTGGCCTGCATCTGTGTCTGGATCCTCTGAAGATGCCAGCTACAGATGCAGGTGAAACGTCAGGAGAAAATGCAGCTAGAACACTGCCATAGAGCTCGGAAACCACACAACACTCCAGTGATTCTGACCGTGAAAGCCTTTGACTACCCATTTGTTTCATTGGAAACCTTTCTGATATATCCATTCACTTCTTATTTCATCAGGCTTCAATAGACCAAGTAAGAATTGTGTAGTTTTGGAACATGCCGGTGTTAGCAAAAAATAGAAGTAGGGAGAAAGGCTGTTCATAATTGACTAACTTTTCATATGGCCCATGGGCTTTAGTGGATTTGCTGTGAGCAATATATTCCATATCTATAAAATACCTTCCATTGTCAGAACAATTGTACCCATTATATTAAATGAATTTTTTGTTAATCAGAAATCGACTTTCCCTGTTTACTCCCTTTTCTAGACTCTAAAAGTTCATGGGCTGCACACCTCTAGTTAAGTTTCCAAGATTGACTGGTTTGAAATTCAACTCTGTTATGATTATCCCAGAACAAAAAGAAAAACATATTTAGGACACTCATTTACTTTGCACAGTTATTTTTTAGTCAGAATTGCTAGTAGTGAAATAAATGCTGGGCCAAATAAGTCAGTTGTATATCAGCTTTTTTAGAAGCTAAAAGTCATAAATAAAGAATATATAACCAGATTTCTTTAGGTGGTCAGGAAGAAGAAAAAGCTCTCACTGAAATAAGAGAAGATAATAACATTTATGTGTGTTTTTCTTTTCAATAGATCATTCAAGATGGACTCGGCTATTTGATCTTACCTTGGTGAGATGCCATGCAATTAAATTAGACTCTTTTAGTCAGTTTATTGAATTGCTGCCAAGCCTGGAGTTTATCTCTCTGGACCAGATGTTCCGGGAGCCTCCTAAGGTGAGTTTGCAAACTGTGTGTTTTAAAGATGTTTTATTCTGGCATGCAGTTAAGCAGATGATTAAATAGTCCTCCAGCTGACTATTTTTAATCATTCAAATTAATTACAAAGTTCAGTGACTGCATTAAGAGCAGAATGACATATTAGATGAAAATGCACATTACTGTAAATTCTATACTACTTCAGGCAAGAATAAAAGAATGCTTTGGTTAGGCAAAAAGGCTATGCACTATTAAAATGATTTTAGTTTGTCGGCTTCTTTTGAAAATCTTTTTAAATACTCTTTTTTCCAATTCCTCTTAATTTGAATTAATATTACATGTAAGAAGAGCACCATAATTCCAGGAAAACCCATAATTTGCTCACAATGAGCCGACAAAGAACAAAGAGGCTACAAGTTGAATCTGGAAGAGAACCTCCATGCTTTTTCCCCTCTAGAATCTGCCTCAGAGGTGTCCTGATCAGATGATAGCTTACTTATCAAACTACACCTATTCTGGATATTTACTATACTCAAATTTACTATACTCAAACTTAAGTAAGAAATGTGAAAGAGAAGTATCATTCTGCCTATCAAAATTCAAATCATAACCTTGAAAGATTCTCCCCCTAAGTGACTAGCCATGTGACAATAAACCTCTTGATCAACTTTTTTGATTGGAGCAAAGACTATAGAGTTTTTTATATAAAATAGAAAATTAAATTGATTTAAACATTATTTGCACTCTGTGACATTGCATAAATAAATCTCAAAACAAAAGTTACAAGTATTTTGAAGCAAAACATTTTAAAGATATTTTACTGTATGGTATGTGTGACCAGTATTTCATAGCCAGTTAAGAGATAAACTCCTAGCTTTCAAGTGTAATGTTAATGGGGAGGGAGTTTTCTCAGGCAGAATAATGGTTTCATCTTGTCATCTAATACACTTCAGTGGCCCATTGTAAAGGAGAGATTAATTCTTCCATGATATTTCTTCCAATACTATGTCCTATACTTCCTCCTAACTGATCATTGATTAAGAGTGTAATTTCTTTTTGTTTTGGAGCCTCATGCAAATTGTCATCATGTCCTGCATTTTAGGGTTGCGCTCGTGTGGGTCTGAGTGCAGGTACAGGGATTGGGGTTTCTTCTGCTTTGGTCAGCAATCAAAACTCCAACAATGAAAATGACAACAATAATAACCATCAGAACAACAATGCCAATATACACCATAACAACCACCAGCAACCAAACGACCAAAATGAGGAGAATGAATTGCAACGGGAGGAGCAGGCAGAAGAACAACAGATTGCAGCAGAGGGTAAATGCAAGAAATAGTATTCATTTCTGTTGTTTTGGGGTTTTTTTATTTAAAAAATAACTAATATGATGATCTATATATAATATATGCACCTATGCACATATTTAAAGTTATTCTATTCAAGTCCATATAGTGACTCTTAGAAAGCTAGGATGTGGAAGTGGGTCATAATACCTTTAATATAAGATTGCCACGTTACATGTTTCAGTTCAAAGACAATTGTTGTTGCCATTCCAGGAGCATTTTGAAGTCTTACCCAGATTGACATACAGCTGGCTATGTATGTGAAGCTTCTGGCTACTCGGAAATAAAAGTGTTCCCATTTTAATTAAAACCATTCTTATCTACAGCATTGAATGATATGGAGGAGGCAGTACAGGAAGATGGAGTGGCTGTAGCAGAAAGCCACAGTGATGCCTCTGCAACGAATCAAGCACTCCTTCCTATGGAAGTTGATGAAGAACAAGCAGGTAATTGTCCTGTCAGAGCATTTCTTTCTTTTTCATGTTTCATTATTTAACTGTGAATCTTTTTGAGCCAAGGTATATGTCAACATAGTATTTGTTTTAGAGTAAACCATGTAAACTAAGAATTGTGAAATTGACTGGCTTCAGATAACAGAAGTCATACAAACAATTTGCAGTTCAAAACATGTAACAACATTTAGCATTATAACACAGGATTATGATACATCCATTATCTCATAGATTGTAGAATATTTTAGTAAGGCAGAAAAATATTGTTGCAGTTTCAGGGACACCTAGTGAGTTCATGCTGAGCCATTGAAGAAGATATTCTAGGTTTACACTTGGATATATTAAAGAAGCTCTGCTTTAATTGTGGAGCATATAAAGTAAACGATTTATTGTAGTTCAAGTTCTGTGAAACTTTTTGATTTTTATTTACCATTCATTCTGTTACTTGCCATTACTCTCTCCTCTTCCTTCATTAAACCATTTTTACTAAGAATCATATAGTTGGTTTTAGCCAATTGTAAGAGCTTTTCAGTCTCCTTTCCTTTATTTTTATTATCTGTGCATCTGGGAGTTATTCTGCTGACACATTTGTGTAAAATCAAATGTCTACATCAACTGCAAATACAAAGCTCATCTTACAATTAAAGTCAATAGGAAAAGGAAGTTGATAAGGAGTGGATAGACACACATGAGAACAGAGCCCAATAAAATGCACACTGATTTGTTTCTTGTGTCCCCTTTTGTGCCTTATCAGCTCTGGGGGGAGCTTGGAGACAAACAAGGCAAAATGTGTCATCGTGCTTCCTGTTACATATTCAAAAACTCAGCTGGCCTGGCTCCACAGTAGAATCCGGTAGAATAAAGAGCTTCCCTGAGGTGAACTCAAGCACCATGGTCTTTGGAAAGTATTCTGATCTGTTGTGCACCTTTCATTTTTTTCTCAGGGCCCAGTGGTCTTCAGCCTAATGTAAATCTCGCACCTATTACTGTCCATGATTCGGACAGTGAGGATGAAGACGAGAACATGGCAAACTCAAGATCCTGTATTACAAACAGTATTGCACAAAGTTACTCAGATGGGGAGGAGAGAGCCAAGGAGCCAGTGGAAATCCATGAACCGTCAGGTGCAGGTTTTTCGTATTTTTTTCATACAATGTGAAGTAAATAGAAAATATTGGTTTGAAAGATGGACGAGAATTCTAGGCGACCAGAGTTTTGAGTCCCTTCTCAGCCATGAAGAACTACTGGAAGTTCTTGGGAAAGGCATGTATTCTTTAAAGAAAGTCAATGGCAAATCCCCACAGCTGATATCTTCCAAGAAAACCTCATGATAGGTTCCCTTTAGGGTTGGAAGTGACTTCAGGTAGCACAAGACTAGCAATAGTGAAAATAGCCCTTGCATATAATATAATGCATTAAGATCTTTTTTGTAGAAATGTTGCTGGAGTTTTACTGGAGTTTTCATATTCCTACAGATCACCTTCTGCTTGTTTACTGTTCTGTTAGGAGAGTAATGCCCTCTTACATTATAGTGTGTTGCATTCAAATACAAAAAAACTCCTTTTTCTACTGATTTTAAGTTAATGGATTTTCTGTTGCTGTTTGATGTTCCTTTAGCTTTATTTCTTCATAGATCTCATCTATTGTTTTTCCCAGTTTTCCTGATATCTGTCTGAAGATTCTCTTTTATCCCATCCTGTAACTTCTAAAAAAGCCCAGTCAGGAATTGCAGTAGCGTGCAGATTGGTTTTATTTCTAAGCTCCTTTTGAAAGCTGTGGATTGGATTGTGGATTTCAATTGTCATGTTTAACTGAACAAACTGGGATATCAAGTCACACTTTGATCCTAATTTATTTTAACTAACTGTCCTTAGAACATTGTCTAGTTACAAAAAATCACGCAATTTAAGAAACACAATTTGTCCTGAAGGATATTTACAATTCCCCATCTTCCTCAAAAGGCTTCTGCAAATCACTTCTTCTTGTCTGAATTGGCCAGTTCTGTTGTTACAGGTTTTGCTGGGGTTTATACTTTTCAGTTGTTTAAAAGTTTGGTTTTAAGTGATCATCATTATGTGTTTGTCTTGAAAAATCCTGGTTGTTTAAATCCATTTTTATAAATTTACTTTTTATGTCTTTGTTGTACAATTTGCCTTCAAAGCATATGTGGAAATAAGCGTTTCTTATAGGCATTTTAGATGCTGCACCATTCATTTCAAATAGGCAAATAAATTCTTTATGCAACAAAATGTGGAACTTGTACTTTTTCAGATGTTGCTGAACTGCAGTTCCCATTTTATGGGCTAATTGACTAGGGTTGAGTTTATGATCTGGAGAATCACAGGCCCCACATACAGTATCAATGCAAACTTCAGGAGTCTGCAGAGAGGGATTAATCTCACTCTCACAATCAAATTGTGGCCTTCTAAGATGCATGACTACTTGTTGTACCCTGCCTTGAGTCATAAGGAGAGGCAGGTAATAACAACAATGTGTAATACAATTTGTTTAATCACATAGTTTCAATATCTAAGACTAGCAAGTGAGGCAACTTCACATAACTGCACAACATCTTATCCTGAGATTTCTGCTTGGAACATGTTGTGAAAGTTTCTGCTATCTTACAGGGGAGTCAGCTGTGTGTTGGTAGCTGTAACTGTGTTGTCTGTATATCTCTTCCTAATGTTCTCCCTTTCTGTCCAATATTGTTATAGCAGTGAGTGGTAAAGGCAAAGCTCCATTACGGAAAAGATGCAATGCCAGTCGTGTGAAAGTCTTTCTTTCGGAGGAAAGCAGCTGCGAAAAAGGCTGTCAAGTGACCAGTGAGCAGATAAAAGCCGACATGAAAGCAGCTAGTGATGGGACAACAGAAAGAAATAAAAACAAAGATTGTTATCCAGGCTATGGGGGCGGCACTGGACCTCCAGGGAGTACTTCTCCAAACCCTGAAGGCAGTCTGAGGACAGCTGATGGCTCTGCTGCTGCCCCATCCTCTGTTGCAGAGGATTCTGGGAAGTGTCTCTGCAGGAACGAAGGTGATCGTGAAAGAAATGAAGAGGATGACAACAACAACTCTTTATGCTCTAGGTGTTCTTCCTATGTGCCCCAGACTCATCAGGGGAGGACTAATGGAGTCTCTGATGGAGAATGTCCATCAACCAGTGGGTCCCGTGGCATGAATGGACCAAATATGGGAGGAGCTGAGTTCTCCCTGAGAACGTTACCAGAATGCGGTTCTCCAGGTGAGACCAGCAATGAAAGGATTAATGAGAGAGTCTGTGGCACGGCAAATGTGGAACAGGGTGCCAGTTCACATCAAGAGAGGCATGGAATGGCACACGGTGAAGAGTACCCACGCAGGCCTCTGACAAGAGCCAGAAGCAGGCTTTCTCATGTGCCCTTGGTGTCTCAATCAGGTATGGCGGCCTTGACATTGCCTATTCCTTGCATCAGAATAGATTGTCAAAGGAAGATGGAGGAGTGGGCCTATTTGAACCACATCATCCTTCCTCAGACGCAGCACAGAAAGTACAAAAGGAATAAACTATTGTCAGGGGGGAAATAGATTTTTTAAAAAGCTGGTTCTTGTGTTAATAAAGCTGCTCATGAATGGAGATGGAACAATTATTGTTATCTTGATCATTGAGAGAGCTTTTCATGTTGCTTTTTGTGAAGTTTTCCCCCCTGAAATACTCTATTTCAGCTGTTGTTAAAGTGGAAAAGTTGATAGAGCTTCTTGTCGAAGGTTCACTGGCATTTGGGATGACACTATTCTTGAAATTGTTCTGTTGCCTAAATAATGTTTCTGATATGCAGAGTTTGCTTCCAAAAGATGCCAAATCCAGCTGAATATATTCTGCTCCTTGGCAACAATGTGCTGCCATCTATTTATTATTTATTTATTTATTTTGAGATTTTATATACCGACCCTCTCACCTTCAAAGAGGGATTCGGACCGGTTCACAACATGTGTTAACATACAAAAAATATACAATAACAACACAATGCCACTTTATTACACGATTAAAATATCAGCACCATACACATTAAAACATTATCATCACAGTTAAAAGAACCATCTATAATTCATTTTTCAATTTTGAGGGGAGTTGGTACCTTTTGGAAACAAACTCCACATATATATTTCCTTAGGGTATAGAGGTTATATGTAGGTCATGGCAAATTATTTCACTGTTCCCCCCATAGGGCAAGTGTGTGGTTTCCTTCCAGATCTGGAGCTGCAAAATAGTGGGATGATATGTTTTCATTCTCTGTGGTCTTCAGCTGAAGTCCCAAAACACAGCAACATAACGAGGAGTTGGGGATGTGCTATGGGGCCATTTGTGAGCAGAAATTCCATTCCCCAAAAGTGTAGGGTGGCATACAGATCCTGTGCCATCTTAAATCTCAGTGTTTCATATATTTAAGTGCTTTTCATGAAACACAACTAGAGTTTACATTTTGATTTTACATTTATTTCCGCACATATTTTAACAGAATGAAAAATCAAATAGTTAAAATAACTGTCTCCTATATGTTGTCATAGCTAAATTCAAGTGAATTTGTCTCTCCAGTACTGAGTAGTTGCATTGGAATCAACCCTGGCAAGACTTTTTTACAAAATGAAATCATCCCTCTACAGCAGTTATTTGTTTTTATAAAGAAAAAAAGTTCCCTTCCTTCCCTTCCTTTCTTAGGTGATCCCTCGTAGTCCAAGGATGATGGTCCTCCAAGTGTAGTATCCTGACGGTGGGTCCGTAGGTAACTGTGGAGCCCTATTCTTGATCTGCATCTTCTCCCACAGTGAGGGCATCGGTTTCCTGGTGGAAAGCGGTCCTGGTCGGGGTTGGCTTGACACACTTTCCTCTTGGCACGTTTTTCTCTTTCATGCTGCATTTGTGCCTCTTCAAATTCTGCAACACTGCTGCCAGAAGCCATTCTGGGATTCTGGGAGGGTGTCTTCTGAGAGGAGTAGAAGGCGGTTTGCAAGGATTCTTGCAAGGATTTTCCCAGCTGAGGTTAGAAGGGAGATACCTCAATAGTTTCCGCAGTCTGTTCTTTCCCCTTTTTTGAAGAGGTTGATGATGGTGGCATCCTTGAAATCTGCTGGGATTTTCTCGGTCACCCACACTTTTTCAATGAGCTGGTGGAGTTGTTGTGTTAGCTCAGGTCCTCCCTCTTTAAAAATTTCAGGTCTGCTGGCTTTGTTATATATATTTTTTTTCTTGGTTGATGGCATTGCTGACTTCTTCCAAACTAGTCAGTGCTGCAAGCTCATCCCTGGTTTGCTGTTGTGGGATTTGTAAGAGAACCTCTTCGGCCACATTGGAGCTGTGGTTCAGGAGGCTTTGGTAATGTTCTTTTCAACGTAGTGCAATTGAGTTTTGGTCATTCAGGAGTGTGGTTCCATCTGATGAGCGTAGAGGCTGTATGCCATGGTTTCTTGGTCCATAGATGACCTTTGTGGCTTTGAAAAAATCCCTGAGCATCATGGGTATCTGCCAGGTGTTGGATTTCTTCAGCCTTCCTTGTCCACCACATGTTCTTAAGTTCTCTTGTCCTTCTTTGGACCTAAGCATTTGCACTGGTGTAGATCTTTTTCTTAGCAGCACAGTTGATGTCTCTCTGCCATGTTTGGAAGGCTTTCCTTTTCTTGTCTGTTGGATCTCATTGTCATTTTCGTCAAACCAATCTTGATGTTTCTTGGTTCGATATCCAATAGTTTCTTCACAGGCTGTGATGATGGAGGTCTTTAGTTTGTTCCAATGTTCCTCAACATTTTTGGGGTGTTCTAAGGGTAGATGGTCCTTGAGTGCTGTTTGGAGATGGGCTCGTTTGGAGGGCTCCTGAAGGGCTTGGGTGTTCATTTTGCGCCTTGTCTTTCTTCCTTGGAGTTTGCGCTTGGGGACGATCTTGATAGCCATCGTGGATCAGATTAGCCTGTGGTCTGTCCAGCAGTCATCAGCCCCTGTCATGGCTCTTGTGATTACATAGTCTAAGAGGTGCCAATGCTTTGATGGGGCGGGGGGGGGGGGGGGCATTGTTCTTAGTGGCTTTTTGTGGGGTTTTTTTTAACAAATTCCATTTATCTCACATTTAACAAGTGATTTTTTCCCTTAAAATATTTTGTGGTTATTGTCATTTCACAAAATCATTCTTTGACTGATATTCTCTTCACATTTGGAATCTGGCCTAAATCCAGCATTTAGTTATACCTAGAGAATTCCAAATTGAAATGAATGAGACCCTTTCGTTGTAACAGAGATTACTTAGATTACTGCAACGCTCTCTACGTGGGGTTGCCTTTGAAGACTGCCCGGAAGCTGCAGTAAGTCCAACGCGCGGCAGCCAGATTACTAACGGGGGCTGGGTACAGGGAGCACACCACTCCGCTGTTACGACAGCTCCATTGGCTGCCAATTAGCTTCTGAGCACAATTCAAAGTGCTGGTGTTGACCTATAAGCCCTAAACGACTCCGGCCCTGTTTACCTCTCCGAACGTATTCTCCCCTACGAACCATCAAGATTACTAAGATCATCTGGAGAGGCCCTGCTCTCGGTCCCACCAGCCTCGCAAGCGTGCCTGGTGGGGACGAGGGACAGGGCCTTCTCGGTGGTGGCCCCGCGACTCTGGAACTCTCCCTCTGGAGGCCAGAACCGCCCCATCCATCCTAACATTTAGGAAACGGGTGAAGACGTGGCTGTGGAGTCAGGCCTTCGAGGAATGAGACAACACCATAGGACTCTGGATGGAAGTGGATATAGATCCATCTTAATAGGACGACTGACCACTGTAGTTTTATATTTAGTGTATTTTAAAGTTGTTTTGTAATTTGTTATATATGATATTTTAATGAAGGCATATGTTTTTATGGCTGTAAACCGGGCTGAGTCCCTCAACAAGGTTGAGAAGCTCGGTATACAAAACTGTGAAATAAATAAAAATAAATAAATAACAGATAGTAGTCAAAGTGATTGCAGTGAATTCTTTCTATGTTAGATGAAGTTGCCTGCAGGCTCTTGACATTTTGATAAAGTGTAGTGTAACTATTTAAAGGTAGAGTGTCTAAATGTTTTCAGCCAAATCAGTGTCTAGTTGGAATTCTTGCATTATTCTTTATTGCCTAGATAGGAAATACATAGTAATTTTTCAAGTTAGATATGTTTTAGCTGTGCTTTTAATTTTGGCTTTAATTGATACAGGTGTTCCCCCTTTTAAATACTACTATGGTGACTTATTCTCCAAGCATTTTAAACATCAAATCATACTTGCTTCTGTGCATAGAGTGAGGTGGTATTTATGTGGTATGCCTGCTTCTCTTGCTTGCTTCAGTGAGCAGCTATCTTGTAAATGTCACTTTGTGGCAGGTGCTCCAGGTTCAGGGCATAGATGAATTGGATGCACTTCTAAATAAAACGAGGGCTCCCTCACACAGGGTTCCGCCATTTAGCAGACGTCATATTCTTCTATTATTTCCATTTGAATTAAGAATAAGAATACTGTGTTTCCAGGAAAGCAGTTTATACAGTGTTTCCAGAAAAGCAGGTATATACCAAATATAAATACCTCTGACCTTCACATGGTTTTTAAGATGGAAAAGCAATTAAATCCTTGGATTAGGGAAACTTCATTTCCAACAGTAACTATTTATTGCCGTACATTTTACTTCCAAAATGTGGAATAATGGCAATAATGGCACTGACAATTTTTCATACTCCCTGTTGAGTTCTGATTTAACATCCTGAGATGGATAGCATCACCAAAACATTTGAAAGTCTATGTAATTAAACTTTCTCTGACTTTAGTAACACCGCACAATTCAAATCCAGTTTGTGCAGATCACTTCATATGGGAAAATATTATATGAAACCTTCTCTTCATGTCTTGTGTGACTGACACAGTATGAAAGACACACTATCTATTGGGTTATTTTTGTGATCTGTTAGTTTGCACAGACTATCCATTTTTAAAGTATTTTTGTGGGAGATACTTTTATAGATTGTTGTGAGATGATGACTCAAATGTTTGTTTGTATACTACTCCCAAAGATTTCAGGGCAGCTAACAATAAAATAAACTTGAAACAATAATTACAGAAGTTTAAAAAGATCAAAAATATATTAAATCATGTCTAAATTAAAAACTGAAAACAATCTTGAATAATATACCCATAAGACAAGTACACCTTGATAAGATTAAAAGCTTCAAGTTTAATCAAGCTTTTCTACTCCATGTGTTCTGCCTGAATACATAGTATTTAACCTTAGGCTCATACTACATTAAGCCCATTGGATGAGTTGAGAACAATATCATACTTGGTAAATTCTCACACCATGTGATGTTCTATCCAAAGCCTTTGAGTGTCTCATTTGATGTGTCTCACTGAATTCACTGAGATTTGCTTTCAGATATATATGGATAATACTGCATTTCTGGAACTTTGATTATAGAGCATTCATTTAAAGGGTTTTGCCTGCAGAATTTTAGTTTCAGAACCAAAAATGCTTTCTCTTGTATTGAATTCTTCCCAGCTCTTACCTCAGCTTTTGTTAGTGGTTGCCCACAATTCTGAAATTGCTCTTCTGAGAAGGGTACTGTCTCCCATGTTCACTGTGGAACACAAATGAGAACTGTTACCATCATTGTTATGATTATTTCTTCCCAGAAGTGACCAAAGCAAAGCCCAAGCAATCAATAAAACGGAAACGAACAGCAGACAAGTCCACAAGCACCAGCGACCCTGTCATTGAGGACGACCATGTTCAGGTAATGCTCCACACTGATTTTTTAAAAACCGTTCTAATAATCTAGGTTGGAAATTATGAGCTTTAGGTTTGGCTTTAAATTCAGATTTCTAAGATCCCAGTCTTCCTTACATCTTTGAATAGCCAGGCACACTTCTCTATGTTAGATTAGCTTGGTACAGCTTGGAGTGCAGGCAAAACTTAAGGAGAAAACACTGCTAGAACATGGCCATACAGTCCGAAAACCACACAACACTCCAGTTATTCTGACCATGAAAGCTTTCAACAATACATTGATACAGCTTGTTTACTGGAAATAACTGTAAACTATTGTATTCTGTGGGGTTTTGTCCTACTTTTTTCTACTCTAAATACATGTACTTCAAGGTTGTAGACATTATTCTTACTCAAGGTTTTCCTCATTTTTATTTTTGGCTGCATTTTTGAAAATAAATTTGTCAGAATACAATAAACATATTTTTTCTGCTAAGCCTTTTGTCTGGGAATGCACATTTCGCTAACAGCCTTAAGCAGCCAGCCAGTATTGCTGATAATACTATTGCAAATCATTATTATTGTTTTTGTTATTTCTTACCTGCCTCTCCCTATGGATGGAAGCCAGGAACAACAGATATGATTACAAATAGACACACAAACACCATAAAATAATCAATTAAAAAGACATGACGCCAGTTTAAAAAGCAATCAGTTCTTAATTTAAAAACTGCCAGGCTAGCCTTACAGAAAATTGGTGTTTAGTCCTGTTTTCAATGCTGACTACATACTACCCAGTTACTGAATCTTATCCAGAAGGTCAGTCCACAATTTGGGAGAAGCTGATGAAAAAGGCCTCTGAATGACAGTTGTTGGAAGCATATAGTATTATTATTTTTTTTGTCGTGTCAGGAGCAACCGCTCCTGTTGTGAGAGAATTGGCTGTCTGCAAAGACGTTGCCCAGGGGACACCTGGATGATTTTTGATGTTTTATCATCCTTGTCCATTTAGTTTTCTTGGCAAGGATACTGGGGTGGTTTGCCATTGCCTTCCCCAGGGATCACGCGTGGTCTGACCTCTCTGCCACAACCGTCCCGTCTTGGGTAGCCCTTCACGGTTTCGCTCATGATATCATTGAGGTGCTCAAGCTCCAGCAAGACAATTATGCTGGGGAAAGTAGAAGGTAAAAGGAAGAGGGGCCGACCAAGGGCAAGATGGATGGATGGCATCCTTGAAGTGACTGGACTGACCTTGAAGGAGCTGGGGGTGGTAACAGCCGACATGGAGCTCTGGCGTGAGCTGGTCCATGAGGTCACGAAGAGTCGGAGACGACTGAACGAATGAAGAACAACAACATCATCCTTGTGGGAGGCTTCTCTCATGTCCCCACATGAGGAGCTGGAGCTAATAGAGGGAGCTCATCCGCCTCTCCCCGGATTCGAACCTGCGACCTGTCGGTCTTCAGTCCTGCTGGCACAGTGCTTTTACCCACTGCGTCACCGGGGGCTCCTATAATAGTAATAAATGATCAGCTCTTGGAATAATAATAATAATAATAATAATAATAATAACTTTATACCCCACTCCATCTCCCCAGGGGGACTCAGTGCGGCTTACATGAGGCCAAGCCCATCAGTGCAGTACATACATTACAATACAAAAACATAACAATAACCAGAAAATAAAATACATAAAATGCAAAGAAATATAATAAACGACACAGGCAATATAAAACATGCAATTAAAAACAGAGAAGTTCACTGGGCAGGGCCATATTCAAGGTTAAAAATTTAAAAAAACTAGGAGATAGGACGATGCAGATCACCAGGATAAGGATCCGAGAATGAGGGAGGATTCAATTGCACGAACTGTAAATAAAGTGTTTCTAAGGACGTTTAGTGCAAAGTTTGGTCAGGGAGTTTCTTACATTCAATCACTGAAGGCACATTGGAATAACCAGGTTTTCAGGTTCCTCCTGAAGACTGCTAGTGTGGGGGCTTGCCTAGTATCAGAGATATGAACATTGTGGCTCTTGAGGAATATATTTGGGGACCAGTGTTCCTTAATTTTTTCATAAATGAGCTAGATTTAGAAGGGAGCAGATATTTGATCAAGGATAATATAATATTTAGCATATTTAGAAGAGACATAGATTAGGGAAAATATGTCCAAAGAAATTTCTAGACGTAGATGTGAAATTTACTGAAATGCCTAGAGCAAAATAAGATTGGGAAGAAATCTCCTAATTGGGAGAACAAGTATTAAAATGGCAAAAAATTAATAGACTTTTAGACTTAGGGCATCTGAACCAACAGTGACTGGATAGTTCAGGACAAATGCCTGAGTGGATTTGTGTAAAAGGCATATTCTTTGCTGGGTGTAATTAAGAAAGGGAATGACAATAAAGTTATCAATATTATAATGCCATTGTCAAAATATAAGGCATGACCACACTATATATGTTTTTGGTCATCACATCTGAAATATGTTGGAGTGCTGGAAAGGGGGCAGAAAAGAGCAACTAGAATACTCCAGTGGCTGGATATATTCTCTTCATAAACTTAATAAAATCATAATTATTTATACCACGCCCCATTTCCCTGGAGGAAGGAAAGTTTGCTACTTGTATAAGTCATTGTTAACCAAAGTATTATATGTCATTTCCTCTCTTCATTCCATGATTTCTGTTGTTAACATCAGCAGTTAACACAGTGGCAACCTAATGTCTTCAATTTCTGCCCTACATCCAACATTAAGTCGTGAAAAAAGAATACTTTGTTAGAGCAGACTGAAGGACTACATACTGGCCTGTCAGTTGCCTCTTAGAAACCCATCAGCATGCCACGGTGACTTAGCCCACTACACTGTGATCTGGAGAACTGCATTTTGTATTTGTATTCATCTGTGTAGTATACATCATGATCTATGATTTTTAACATTAATTCCCCAGGTTCTGACACTGAAATCAAAAAACCTTGTTGGGATCACTTTAACAAATTGCGGCATAACAGACCTGGTGCTGAAAGACTGCCCTAAAATGATGTTCATTCACGGTGTGTATTTTTTTTATTCTTCCATTTTGCTAATTGAATTAAATTGACTTTTCACTAGATGGAGCACATCCCTCATTTTAACTAGCTACATTGTGACTTTCTTGCTTTATATAATCAAGGGTTTCTTATTTATTTCTCTGAGCATAATCAGTTGGAGAAAGCGAATAAATGCTATTTTTGTGTTATATTTTATCTCCATTTATTAATGGTATATAATTCTTTCAGAGAATGAATTTAAACAGCCTACAGTTACATTTCTTTCAGAGTCAGCTAAGATATTGGTAAGAGATGTAGACATGGGGAAAGAGATAAGGCATTGCACATTCAAATAAGATTTTATTTTCTTATTCTAAAATACCCCAATTTTCTAAATTTTGCAACTGAGCATTAAAAAAGACAATTTAGTCATCTAGACAAAATAATATGTTAGCACCCAGTAACACCAACACTCCACGAACTTGTTAACACATTATACCATGTACAAAGAAGCCTGTGGTGCATATATACTTTTTATCTGTCAGGACTCATCTGAAGGGCATCCGGTCCTGTGTGTAAAAAGTCTTTCTCACATTTGATCAGTGTGCTAACACTCTATAGTTGCTCAGTGCTTCATCACAGAAAATTTAATTTAGTAATCTTGGCTTCTCAAAATAAGGAAGGAATTTCAAATGAACAGTTTTCTCCACATATTTAATGATGATGATGATGATGATGATGATGATGATGATGATATTTCTTACTCACCTCTCCTTGTAGCTGGAGCCGGGTTACAACAAATTTGCAGAGAAATCATGGCTCGTTAGTGTTCAGATCTTTATACTGTAGTATGATCACTTGTGCAATTTACATTGTCTTCCTAATAAGTATTGTGTGTTTTCAATCAATGTTGTTTTGGGAAGCTTCACAATGTTCTAATTAAAATGCATTAATTGATAGTTATTTTATCATTATCTATGATATATCTATGATATCCACCATCCCACCCCCTGGAAAACTCTTCTGTAGTGACCGCTGCGCATCTTTGCCCATCTCTACCCAGTGAATTTTGCTTTGCTACACCATGGATTCATTGTTAATTGTGAAATGTGCTCCCTATCCTTACAGATTTTAACATATTCCTCCTCCTGTTGCTAGGCTAGCAAATGTGTGCAGGGTAGAGATACAACTAAGCCAGGCAGAGCAGACAACTGGAGGATAAAGTGGTGAGATAAAACAGCAGCAGTGAGCAACTTCTCAAAAGATAAAATGTTCCGCTTTTAAAAGCTTGCTTTTAATTTTCCAGTCTTGCCCTGTTAAGGCAGAGAAATGGAAATTAAGTCAGTAGATCTTGCTCCTGAAGAGTTTCAAATATGCTGAGTTATACTGGCAATCCATTTGCACAATCTGTATAGTATTGAAGTATTCTGTCTTCAGCATGTATTCTGTCATGTTAGTCATGCATGTTTGAACTTAGCTTTGCATAAAATGTGAACTTTATTCCTTGTTGACAAATTCTTTTCACTTATTGAATTGTAGCCACCAGATGCCGAGTACTTAAGCACTTAAAAGTAGAGAATGCACCCATTGTCAATCGATTTGACTATGCTCAGTGCAAGAAATTCAACATGGATCAAGTCCTGGATCAAATACTGCGGATGCCACCAGAGAGAAATCGGATCATTTATCTTCGTCCCATGCAGCAGGTATCCAGATTATTTTCATTTCATCAAAAGAACGTTGCTTGTCAACTGGTGTAATCTATAATATTTTACGTCTTTTACATGGAAGTTTCCAGTACCAATTGGGGCCAGCTGTAAAAGCCACTTTGTGTCGCTGTCTTCAAGCTTTTCATTTTTGACACTTTTCCCTGTGCTCTTGCAATGCATCGAATACTTTTGGTTTAAAGCACTAAGTCACCATAGTAAACTTTCTGTTCCTTTAGGCAACTAATTTTAATTGTTGTTGTTTATAAAATGCTGGATTGGGTATGAGGGTGCAACATTCTGTCAATTGTAGATCACAGACATTGCATTAGTTCTGTTCATCATAACAAAGCCCCCCCCCCCATGAGTTGTAGTTATGCTGTATTTATCTCCCTATAAATTGTTAATTAAAGTGGAGTTCAGGGTTTTATGATGTTTGTTTCTTTGAACAATGCCTCTTTTTTATATGGATAGCACAAGGACTTGCTTGGCAAATAAACATTCACATGAGCAAGCTAAGTACCTCAAATTTGCAGAATGTGAAACTGTGCAATGCCTAATAAGCACCATTCTGCCATTCACTTGTTAGCACAGCTATAGGGCAGCTCACACGCTAGAATGATCTCCCCCAAAACAGTCTTAAAACTCCTAAAACAATGACAGCTAAATTGCTCAAAGGAAAGTGGAGATACTGACAGCATTTTGCTTTTTCTCTTTCCAAGTTGTATATCATACTGTTATTTTTTTACAGGTTGACACACTGACTCTAGAACAAAAGATATTTAGTGGTCCTTATCCATACCACATCTGTGTAATTCATGAGTTTAGTAACCCTCCAAATGTTCGCAACAAGGTGCGCATTCGCAGCTGGATGGATACAATAGCAAACATTAATCAGTAAGTCTCACAGTATTCTCAAGTCACCCTTCCGCTCTCTCTATCCCATCTTCATAGGTCTTTGATAGATGGATAGGTAAACAGATACACAAAGCAGAAAACATTTGTGATTCTGAACTTAGCTGTGTTTATTATTAAACTTCATAGGGATGAATTCTAACTTTATAATTAAGGTTGTGATATTTTGCCTGCTTACCTGGTCCTGCTGAACCTTTTGAGATACATGAGAAAACGAGATGAGAGGTTTCTGGCATTGTTAAGCATTTAGTGTAAGAAATGCCCTCTCTCAACAGCATTTTCATTTTTCTGGAAGAATTTAGACTCTGGTGGTTTAGCAAGTTTCCATCACTAGGAAATAAAGCGATCTATTGCCATGACTCATTTTTTTTGCTTCTCTATCCTGCTTTTCATCATTTCAAAGAAGCTTCTTTGAATACTGTTTCAGTGTTGATCGGGTCATGCCTATCTTATAAGCATCGGAGTTATTTATTATATTGGTATCTTCTGTAAATTCAGCAAAAGTCCTTTTTTGTGCAATTCTCTCAACTAGAAGGGCCTTCTTTCTGAGCAAATGCAAGGAAGTTAGATCCAAATCCAGAGTGTTTCTCTTTTAGTACATTATAGGCCATACACCTTTTCAGATGGACTTCCATATCTATTCCATTAATATTCATATTCTTTCTCACTATTCTTCAGAGAACTTATTAAATATGAATTCTTCCCAGAAGCCACACGAACAGAAGACGATCTTAAAAAATACACCAAATACCCTTGGGGAAGAGACATTTACACTCTAGAAGGTAAGCAATGTGAAGACCTAAAAACAAAGTGTGTATATATTTCTCTGGAAATGAATGGTTTTCGGAATTAGATCTTGCATGTTAACCTAAAAAAAATCTATTTTCTGTCCATAAAGTCAGAAACTGAACTTTACCAGATGAGAACACATCTGTCAGAAATAATGTCTATAGAGCAGTGGTTCTCAACCTGTGGGTCCCCAGGTGTTTTGGCCTACAACTCCCAGAAATCCCAGCGAATTTACCAGCTAGAAGGCATGATCATCAAGTTTGCAGACGACACCAAATTGGGAGGGATAGCCAATATTCCAGAGGACAGGAGCAGAATTCAAAACGATCTTGACAGATTAGAGAGATGGGCCAAAACTAACAAAATGAAGTTCAACAGTGACAAATGCAAGATACTCCACTTTGGCAGGAAAAACGAAATGCAAAGATACAGAATAGGGGATGCCTGGCTCGAGAGCAGTACGTGTGAAAAAGATCTTGGAGTCCTCGTGGACAACAAGTTAAACATGAGCCAACAATGTGATGTGGCGGCAAAAAAAGCCAATGGGATTTTGGCCTGCATCAATAGGAGCATAGTGTCTAGATCTAAGGAAGTAATGCTCCCCCTCTATTCTGCTTTGGTTAGACCACATCTGGAATATTGTGTCCAATTCTGGGCACCACAATTCAAGAGAGATATTGACAAGCTGGAATGTGTCCAGAGGAGGGCGACTAAAATGATCAAGGGTCTGGAGAACAAGCCCTATGAGGAGCGGCTTAAGGAGCTGGGCATGTTTAGCCTGAAGAAGAGAAGGCTTAGAGGAGATATGATAGCCATGTATAAATATGTGAGAGGAAGCCACAGGGAGGAGGGAGCAAGCTTGTTTTCTGCTTCCTTGGAGACTAGGACGCGGAACAATGGCTTCAAACTACAAGAGAGGAGATCCATCTGAACATTAGGAAGAACTTCCTGACTGTGAGAGCCGTTCAGCAGTGGAACTCTCTGCCCCGGAGTGTGGTGGAGGCTCCTTCTTTGGAAGCTTTTAACAGAGGCTGGATGGCCATCTGTCAGGGGTGATTTGAATGCAATATTCCTGCTTCTTGGCAGGGGGTTGGACTGGATGGCCCATGAGGTCTCTTCCAACTCTTTGATTCTATGATTCTATGATTCTATTAGGATTTCTGAGAGTTGAAGGTCAAAACATCTGGGGACCCACAGGTTGAGAACCACTGCAAGAGTTTCCCAAATCTGAGGACTAGCCAGCAACACCAGTGGGAGTAATAGATCAACACCATCTGGATGCCCAGGGTTGGAACACCAGTCTAGATGGAAGATAATCCAGAAAATGTTTATAATAAAGCAAATGAGAATTTCTGGATGTGTTGAATGGTGCATGTTTCAAAATGTGCACTATTGCAAAGAAGGCAGAGTCTAAGTATATTTCATTTCTGTCATGTGTGCAGAATTTTGTTTCCTGGCTTGACCTCAAAGTATAAAGAGAGGGTTACAGGTTTGGTTTAGTTTTGTTTTTTAAAAGCACAGCTCTTTCTATATTTTATCTTAATTTGCCTCTTTTTAAGGCGTTGTGGATGGGGCTCCTTACTCCATGATTACAGATTTCCCTTGGTTAAGATCACTCAGGACAGCGGAGCCTAATGGCTATGCCAGATATGATTTTGAGGATGATGAAAAAAGTAAGTGAATGTGCCTACATTAATTTGTATGTAATGTTTTGATTGCCCTTCTCTTTGGAAGTACCTGAAACACTGTATAAAAGACAATAACAGTTCACTCACTTAAAAAAAAACTGGCCAAGAGATCTGAGGAAATGTCTTCCACCCACATGTTCTCCTTTTTTTTTTTATACGCTTGTATACCGCTAATATCTCAGCCTAAGTCGGCGACTCATTGCGGTTTACAACAGTTAAAAACAATATTCAATTTAAAACATAAAACACATATACAATACAAATTATTGGGCCACCAATAATAATCCCATGCCTCTCATAACTGGAATCTCAGTCCAAAATTCATCGTCCATGATTACCAATCCTTTAGTCATCAAAATTCGTTGCAACGGATTAACCGAATGCTTGTTTAAACATCCATGTCTTCAATCTATTCCGAAACACCATCAGCGAGGGGGCTGATCGTACCTCTATAGGGAGGGCGTTCCAAAGCCGAGGGGCCACCACAGAGAAGGCCCTATCTCTCGTTCCCGCCAGCCGCACTTCTGAAGCTGGAGGGATAGAGAGAGAGGGACTCCCAGAAGATCTTAGGGTCCTGGTGGGCTGATAGGCTGAGATACGTTCGGATAGGTAAGTTGGGCCAGAACCGTTTAGGGCTTTAAAGGCCAGCGCCAGCACTTTGAATTGAGCCCGGTAGCAGATCGGCAGCCAGCGGAGCTGGTGCAGCAGAGGAGTTGTATGCTCCCTGCGCTCCGCTCCAGTTAGTATCATGGCTGCCGAGCGTTGGACTAATTGGAGCTTCCGGGCCGTCTTCAAAGGCAACCCCACGTAGAGAGCGTTGCAGTAGTCTAAACGGGATGTAACCAGAGCGTGGACTACCGTGGCCAAGTCAGACTTCCCAAGGTACGGGCGCAGTTGGCGCACGAGTTTTAACTATGCGAATGCTCCCCTGGTCACCGCCGAAACCTGGGGTTCCAGGCTCAGCGATGAGTCCAGGATCACACCCAAACTGCGAACCTGCGTCTTCAGGGGGAGTGCGACCCCGTCTAACACAGGCTGTAACCCTATACCCTGTTCGGACTTGCGACTAACCAGGAGTACCTCTGTCTTGTCTGGATTCAATTTCAATTTGTTCGCCCCCATCCAGACCGTCACAACGGCCAAGCACCGGTTCAGGACCTCGACAGCCTCCTTAGTAGCAGG